CTTCTTCAGATACAGTGTGAAGAAGGAGAAATTGGATTTATACCTCACCCTTCACTACCCAAAGGAGTCTCAGAGCAGCTTACGGTCTCCTTTCCCTTCCTCTCCCCACAACAGACACCCTGTGAGGTAGGTGGGGCCGAGAGCAGCTCTTTCGAGGACTGCTCTTGAGAGAACAGCTCTGAGAGAACTTGTGACTGACCCAAGGTCATCCAGCCAGGTGCAAGTGGAGGAGGAGTGGGGAATCAAACCCGGTTCCCCCCAGATTAGAGTCTGCGCTCCCAACCACGACACCAAGCTGGCTGTCCGTGCATGCAGAAGCATGCATGCACACTTCTTCAGATACAGTGTGACGAGATGTGCATTCATACAAAAGCTTATACAGAGCCATTCTGGTGTCGTGGCTAAGTGCGCGGACTCTAATCTGGAACCGGGTTTGATTCCCCACTCCTCCTCCACTTGCACCTGGCTGGATGGCCTTGGGCAAGCCATAGTTCTGACAAGAGCTGTCCTTAAAAAAGAGCAGCTTCTGTTAAGAGCTCTCTCAGCCTCACCTACCTCACAGGATGTCTGTTGTGGGGAGGGGAAGGGAGAGGAGTTTGTAAGCCGCTCTGAGACACCTTTGGGTAGTGAAGGGCGGGGTATAAATCCAATCTCCTCTTCTTCCTCCTCCTCCTTTTCTTCCTCCTCCTCCTCCTCCTCCTCTTCTTCTTCCTCCTCCTCCTCCTTGCTTAAAACTTTGTTGATCTTAAAGGTGCCCCTGGACTCAGACTTTGTTCTGGAGGTGACTGGCCATTCCTGCCGGGGCCAGATCTAAACCTACACAACAGGAGCTTTTTTTGAGCCCGGCCGGCAGCAGCGCACGCCCCTGAGGCGAAGGCTGTGCCTCGCTTGAACAGGCCCCGGCCCCACATTTTGCAAAGGCTTTTCAGACACTTGGTTCTATCAACAGTACCTGGTTCTGTTACCAGCAGCAGAACGAATGGTGGAATCCACCGTTGTTAGAAGGGACTATACCAGTTCATGCCACAGTGCCCCCCCCCGTGAAATGCGATGCCCTATGACAAAACTAATTTGCCAGCAGAAAGTTGGCAGAAGGAGGAGCAACGGGGCGGGTGGGCTAAAAGGGTCTTCATGCTCCAGTTTCTTTTAACTTGGGGGGAGTCTGAAGAAACACAAGGCAGCGTCAGGTGTTTGTCTGAGGTCCTGCTGGAACAGAAGAGGACAAGCAAGATGATGAGGGGGTTGGAGCCCCTTCCCTACGAGGAAAAGCTGAAGAGCCTGGGACTTTTCCGTTTAGAGAAGAGATGACTGAGGGAGGGACATGCTAGAGGTTTATAACATTACGCATGAGATGGAGAGAGTTGACAAAGGGAACTTTTTTCTCCCTCTCCCAAAATACGAGGAGGAGGAGGAGGAGGAGGGGATTGGATTTATCCCCCGCCCTTCACTACCCAAGGGAGTCTCAGTGTGGCTGACAAACTCCTTTCCCTTCCCCTCCCCACAACGGACACCCTGTGAGGTAGGTGGGGCTGAGAGAGCTCTGAGAGAAACGGCTCTTTTTCAAGAACAGCTCTGAGAGAACTATGGCTTGCCCAAGGTCATCCAGGCAGACGCAAGTGGAGGAGGAGTGGGGGAATCAAACCCGGTTCTCCCAGATTGTTAGAGTCCGCACACTTAACCACGACACTGACCTGGCTCTGAGGAGAAGAAGAAAAAGAAGAGATTGGGTTTATACCCCACCCTTCACTACCCAAAGGAATCTCAGAGCGGTTTACAGACTCCTTTCCCTTCCCCTCCCCCCAACAGAAACCCTGTGAGGTCGGTGGGGCTGAGAGAGCTCTGACAGAAACTGCTCTTTTTCAAGAACAGCTCTTATCAGAACTATGGCTTGCCCAAGGTCATCCAGCAGGTGCAAGTGGAGGAGTGGGGAATCAAACGCGGTTCTCCCAGATCAGAGTCCGCGCACTTAACCACTACACCAAATTGCAGGGGGTTGGACTAGATGACCTGCAAGATCCCTTCCAACTTTAACATTCTATGATCCTATGATTCTAAGAGGTTGGATTTATACCCCGTCCTTCACTCGGAGTCTCAGAGCGGCTTACAGTCTCCTTTCCCTTCCCCTCCCCACAAGAGACACCCTCTGTGAGGTTGGTGGGCCTGAGAGAGCTCTGACAAACGGCTCTTTTTCAAGGACAGTTCTTATCAGAACTAGGGCTTGCCCAGGGTCATCCAGCCAGGTGCGAGTGGAGGAGTGGGGAATCAAACCCGGTTCTCCCAGATTAGAGTCCGCGCACTTAACCCACGACACCAAACACAAGGGCATCCAATGAAGCTGATGGGCAGTAGATCCAGGAGGGACAATCGTTTGGGACCGCTGGACGCACATTCGAGCTGTATCCGAAGAAGCGAGCCGTGACTCACAGAAGCTCACACCTTGCCGCAAATTTTGTTAAAGTCTTTTAAGGTGTTCCTGGATTCTTACCCTTTCCCAGGACAACAGGAAATGCTTCTTTTACACAGAGAGCGATTAAAATGTGGAGTTCGCTGCCAGAGGATGTAGTGATGACCATAGGAAGAGACAGTTTGAAAAAGAGGGTTAGATAGATTCATGGAGGAGAGGTCTATCATCGGCTACTAGGCATGGGGACTGAGGGGAACCTCCACATTCAGAGGCAAATCAAGGTGGGTCGCCGTGTTAGTCTGTCTGTAGCAACAGACAAGAGCAAGAGTGCAGCAGCACCCTAAAGACGAACGGAACTTGTGGCAGGGGATGCGCTTTCGTGAGCCACGGCTCACTTCTTCAGATACAACGAGAATGTCAGTCCATCTGTCCTTATATCTTGGAGACTGGAGTGATTGCAGATGCCGAGTGACATTCGCAGGCCGACAGCAATAGACCCTGCAATCAAGGCCTGCTATTGGCATTCGCCTGCTATTCTCATTTGCCTGCTAATGTCATTCGGCATCTGAAATCACTCCACTCTCCAACATATAGGACAGATGGACTCACATTCTAGCTGTCCCTGAAGAAGTGAGCGGCGGCTCACGAAAGCGCGTCCCCTGCCACAAGTTTCGTTCAGAGGCAAGTAAACCTCTGAATCCCAGTGCCAGGACAGGAGACAATATCAGGGGAAGGCCTCGGCCTCTGTGCCCTGTTGTTGGCCCTCCAGAGGAACTGGTTGGCCACTGTGTGAGACAGGAGGCTGGACTAGGTGGACCCTCAGTCTGATCCAGCAAGGCGCTTCTGATGTTCTTCTCAAGGGAAGGCCTCGGCCTCTGTGCCCTGTTGTTGGCCCTCCAGAGGAACTGGTTGGCCACTGTGTGAGACACAGTGCTGGACTAGATGGACCCTCAGTCTGATCCAGCAGGGTGCTTCTGATGTTCTTCTCAAGGGAAGGCCTCAGCCTCTGTGCCCTGTTGTTGGACCTCTACAGAAACTGGATGACCACTGTGTGAGACAAGACCCTGGACTAATGGACCCTCACTGGTCTGATCCAGCAGGGCTCTTCTTACAATCTTCTCAGGGGAAGGCCTTGCCTCAGAAGGCCTCTGTTGTTGACCCGCCAGGGGAACTGGTTGAGGCCACTGTGTGAAATAGGATGTTGGACTAGCTGGGCTACCGGTCTGATCCAGCAGGGCTCTTCTTAGGTTCTTATAAAGGCCTCGGCCTCTCTGCCCTGTTGTTGGCCGTCCAGAGGAACTGGTTGGCCCCTGTGTGAGACAGGATGCTGGACTAGATGGAACGCTGGTCTGATCCAGCAAGGCTCTTCTGATGTTCTTATCAGGGGAAGGTCTCAGCCTCTCTGCCCTGTTGTCAGCCCTCCAGAGGAACTGGTGGGCCACTGTGTGAGGCAGGATGCTGTACTAGATGGAACGCTGGTCTGATCCAGCAGGGTTCTTCTGATGTTCTTCTCAGGGGAAGGTTTCGGCATTAATGCCCTGTTGTTGACCTTCCAAAGGAACTGGTTGGCCATTGTGTGAGACACGATGCTAGACTAGATGGACCTTCACTGGTCTGATCCAGCATTTTTTAGGATACAAAGCCCACCATTTTCTCCAGGGGAACTGATCTCTGCCATCTGGAAAGCAGTTGTAATTCTGAGTGATCTCCAGCCCTCACCTGGAGATTGGACATATTTTACCTCAGAACAGAAAACTGTTTAGAATGTTAGAGGCAAAAAGCCAATCAAGTCGCATATGCAAACGACCTCTGTGTTCCGAGGCAAATGCCAATGAGGCTGCATATGCAAATAACCTCTGTGTTTTGACTGGCTATGGGGGGGAGAGGAACAGCAAACTGTTTAGAATGTTGGAGGTGAGACTCAAGCAATGTAGCCAGTGGATAGGGACAGATTCTGAGTGACACACTAGGGCGCCAACCAATTCCGGAGCGTGTGGAATGTTCTAGAGAAGTGCCGCCACCATTGGGCTTTTATATATAAGGGAGATAAATGTTTTATCATTATGTTGTTCACCACCTGAGCCATGTGTATTCAGGGGCAGGGCGGTCTATAAATGGAAATGATAAATAAATAAATAAAATAATATCATAACTTAAACATCATCATGCTACATGTTAATTTGCTGTTAAATCCCTGTCTATAAGTTTAGAACCTCATCTGCCATTCCAATGTATTTGAAAAAGTGTGTTTTGCACACGAAAGCTCATAATTTGAATAAACCTTTGTCGGTCTTAAAGGTGCCACTGGACTCTAAATTTGTTCTGCTGCTTCAGACTAACACAGTTGACTACCTGAATCTGACAGACTGAGTTTGTCAGGACTGATGCCCTGAGGTTGCTGAATCCCAAGATCATGATTGGCTGCTGATCCCCCATTTTACCTTGATTTGTGATGCTTTTTATTTCCACATCAAAGGTCACTTTCCCCATCCCCTCTAAGGACAACTGACCTTGGGAAAGACTTGCTGGATTAGGCATCACAAGGAGGGAGAAAACTATGATCTTATATGGACAAAAAACATTTGAGCAGACTGACTGGTTTCCCTTTTCCCTTCTAGTAGCTTCTTACCTGAAAAATCAAGTGTGCACACGCCCCGCTGGTGTTGGCCTTTTAGCAGTGACAAACATTTGAGTGTCTGTGTATCCCACACATGAATAGCAGCATCTCTTCCAACCTAAATGAGAGTACTGATCTTAGCAGATGTACAGGGAGACATGACACTATTTATTTTACTAAAATATTTTATCTAGGATTTTTATTATAAAGTACCCACACAGCTGTTTATGTATCAAAATGAAATCTTTTTTTTGCATCTGCAGAGAACAAGAACTTCCTAATTTTTCTCAGTCTGCTATCTCTTACATGCTGTTTACCTTCATTTCTCAAAAGCTGATCTAAGCTTCCTGATCACCATTTCATCCAATCCATGGATTTCTAATCTATGAACCCTACTTTCATGTTCAGAAGCATTCTCATCCCTGCTGTCTTCTCCTCCATTTCCTTTCCATTCCATTCCATTCCCTCCATTCTTTTCCTCCTGTGTCCAAATGCAGTGTATGCCTATCAGCATTCCCAATATTCTTGCATGTCCCCTTGGCCTCCCTCTGTGGCCTGCTCCAGAGTCAAGTGTGCTTCTTATATAAAATTCATCTTCATGCTTCTACTTCTGCAGCCCTCTGTGCCAATCAGCATTTGATAGCTCTGGCTGCTGTATCCCCCCCCCCCTCCTGCTTGAAGTCCATCCTCAGTTGTCTCTCTTCTCTTCTGATGTTCTTCCTGCCACTCTTACAATTTTCTCTTTCTCATCTTGTTTTGGCTTTCGGCGATAGCTCCACTGAGCTTTAGCCTTTAACCACTTCTTTCCTCCTTTCTACATTCTATTCTGGGGTCATTTTTTTGACCAGTATTAACACACTGAAGAGGACTGTATGTGAAATCATCATTCCTATTTGGTTCTCCCTAGTCAAACTTCAACAAATTACTTCTGTGATTTATGCTCTGAGACATCCAACCATCAAATGATTCCAACATCCCTCAAACTGTATTTCCTTTGAACCCTCCCCTGTCGGTTTCTCTCTTGTTGCTATAGATACCATACTCTCTATTATTTTTTATTTACAATATTGATATTCCACCTTTCATTTCAAAGAAATAAAAGCATTATCTATAAAAGCAACTAAAATAAAATAAATCAAATAGCAATTTAAACAGAAACTGCATGCAAAAATCAGAAGGTAGCATAAAGAAAAGATCATAGTTAAAAATTTGGGGGAACAAGATGTATCTATCTAATTGTCAATAAAACAGGAGTCAAGCAGATGTTTTTCTCAAGGGAATGTTAGCTACAGTGGAATACCAGTTCATGCTTACAGCATATATCAGTAATGGATTTGCTTGTACACCACACTCAAACATACACTAAAAGGAGACTTCAAAGCCCTTCACAGTGCTAAGAGACTCCTTTTTAACATACATTTGTAAGCACCCTTAATCACAAAGGAGGTAGTTTTCATTGTCCACATTTCACAAAAGGAAGTTTCTAAAATGAATACATACTTTCAATGAGCAGAGACTTTCCTGTTCACACAAGGTACACTGGAAAAATCCATCTTTTCAGTCTGACTTGCCAGTGTCACTGCTCATAAATACACACCTGTCCAGTAGCAACATAGTCTTTCACTGGATGGATGGCTAGGCTGAGGATATCATCATCGTGACCAAGATACAGTCTTTGGGTGTGTTGTTGTCTATTGTACACAACAGCAACAGCAGCAATATGGTAAACCACCTCCCCAGTTTGTGTGTAGAACAAATTGTTTCGACAGTCATAGCCTCTGTAACTGAAATGGATTTAAAAACAAAACAAAACACCAACTGGTAATTATCTCAGCAAGTGCCCTTGTAACATTCTGGAACTTAGACTATGATCTTGCCTTTATACTGAAGCAGGTTTTGCTGAAAACAGTGACTAATGTAACTAAGAGCTATACTTATCGTGAAGGATCCAAGAGATTAATATGAGAAGTAGGACATTAATAAAAAGGCTAGAATAAAAACCCATGATGAAAGAAAAATACAAGCTGAGAAGTACTGTACCTAGAACCAGTTATATGGCATCCATAATAATTAGTAACTAGGCATTTGTTAGTTAGCTACACAAACCATCCTTGCTTCTGTCTGTTTTCCTTCCAATTTCACTATGAACTCTCATCTGATGTTCCAAGTTCCACCACACATGGAAAAAAAGAAGGCTTTTGAAGCCTGATCTCTGAGGTGGATAAATTAATACTCTGACATAAAGCTCTGGTTTGAATTTCTACTGTATCTGTATCTACTATATCTGACGAAGTGTGCTTGCACACGAAATCTTATACCTTGAATAAAACTTCGTTGGTCTTAAAGGTGCCACTGGACTCAAACTTTGTTCTGAATTTCTACCTGATACTAAAAAAATCCTGTATGTGGTTTTTAGTTCTGTGTGAAATATAACACCAATCACACCAATTATAACAAGCCCAATCAACACTTCCAGCCAAAGAATGATCATTGATCCAGAAAATAACTGAGAAACCCAACAATGATCTGAAGGTATACTGAGGACTGGGCCAGATACTTTTTGTCTTCTTCTAAGCAACAAATTACCCCCTTGTAATATGGTTAGAGTATCAGACTAGAATATGGGAGATCAGGTTTGAATCCCCACTCTACCATGGAAAGTCACTGGATGACTTTGAGCCAGTCACTTTCAGCCTAAATGAAGGAGGAGAGAATGATGTTGTAAGATACTTTTGGTTCCTCAATCTGGTGAATCGCATGGTGTCTGTCTGTCTGTCTGTCTGTCTATCTATCTATCTTTGCTTTAATCCACTGGAGTTTTTCCAGGGATGCTAGGATTTCCACCTACAAAGCATGAGTTCTGCAGTAGAAGGAGGGAATCAGTAAAAGTTGCCCTCTTCCATTAGGGTGAATTTTCCACAGCATCCAACCGATTATCTCTACCACATGCAGGAAGCTGAAAGGGGCCTCCATGTGACAACTTCTCCATAGTATGTTTATTACATGGTTCTTTCCTGTTTCATGCCAATACCAGCCACTTTCAGGAATAGAAGCAGTGGCATAGAAATGTTCAACCAAGTATCAAAAATTCAATGTGATCTGGCTAGCCCAGGCAAGCCCGATCTCATCAGATCTTGGAAGCTAAGCAGGTTCGACTCTGGCAAGTACTTGGATGGGAGACCTCCTTAAAACACCAGCAGTTGGGAGGTGAGGGCAGGCTTTATTCAGCCACCTCTCTGAATATCCTCCAGGCCCCCAGTAGGGGTTGGTAACCAGAGGTTGCCATGACTTCCAGGTGCACACACACTCACATGCAGACACACACACACTCACTCACACACACATATGAAAAATACACCCAAAAAAGTATCAAATACTCAAAATTACACAGTTAGCCATAGCATAGGTTAAGGTGGCAGCATGGAAAAGCCCATTTCCAGTTTCCTCCCTGTAATAAAGACAATACATAGACCAATCCTTGGATACTAACTGCCTATGGGAAACTGCTACCAGTTCTCTGTGCAGTAATAGCAGATGTCCACAGTTAACCTATTGCTGGAAGGTTGCTGAGGGGATGTAGGGGGAGAAAACGAGGAAGGTCCTAATCATAATAAAACAATCTAAAAGAGAATTCAGTTTCCTCCTAAAGTATTGAGTATGTTTCTTAGTTTTGTGATAATTCCAGCCATTGTTTCTGAAAAGATGCTCTTTCTGGTTTTCCTAAGGCCAGATTACCTTTTGTTGTAATTTGTAGTTATAAAAGTGAAAAGACACGAGTAGTCACTACTGAAAAATTATTATACCCATGTATAAACAGCAGCTTTAAACTGTCCTCAGGGGCTCGCTCTCTTTTAAGGAAGGGCACTGAATGGTTTTTCTCTTTACTTTGCTGTTTCAGCTGAGGTAGATCTTCTTTGTAAACCTAAAAGAATAACAGTTTTGCTTAATTATATATTCCACGTTCAGTTATTCATGTTGCTTATTGTTATTTGTGTTGCTAGCTTGCCTGACAGCCTGTAAGACCAGTATCACTATCCTGGAATGCGTGACAAAATTCGCCTTTTTTGAGAAGCTTCTATTCTAGCAGCAGACAAAGCTAACACCATCCTGATACCTCATGAATTAAAAAAAA